AATTYCAACCAGTAAGTAGATAGTTACTTTAACCTCACAAAGAAATTACCTCTTGGGCTGAGGTTGTAGCTCAGTGGTAGAGTGCTTGCCTAGCAAGTGTGAGACATTGGGTTCAATTCTCAGCACCACATACAAATAAATAAAATAAAGGTACATTGACAACTAAAAATATTTTTAAAAAAAGGATTACCTCTTAAAATTTAGAGGCCTTGCTAGAGATAGAAAATTCAAAGAAAATGTGAAAAACAAAGAACTATTATTGCTACTAGTGAATAAGTAACATTATTAATTTCTGCCTAGCCCAGAGTATTGAAAGAGCCATCAAAAAGGAAAAATCTAGATGTGGGCAGTGTACATCATAGGTCTTTAATTCTACCCAAAGGATTATCTGGGTTAAAAATACTTTCTTAACAACTTGTAGGCTTTCTATAACCTTGGACAAAATAGTTGGCCTGATTGTGCAACTTTCTATCTGAAAATGGAGAAAATACTACTACTTGCAAAGCTATTCATTTCTTATTGTACTGTACTTTATTGTACAGTTCATTTTTTTAATTGTACTGACTCAGCAATTCTTTAGGAACTTTATATAGGCCAGAGCTAATTATAGTAAATTTGAAAGTACTGACCAAATTTAGGGATGATACCTTCTTTCTTGTGCATAAGTTTCTTCCATTTAACAGAAAGATGTGTCAACACATACCATTTTTTTAGAATGCAGAGTCCTTTTTTTTTTCTTTTATGCAGTCCTGAGAATTGAACCCAGAACCCCACACTCACAACAAAAGTGCTCTACCACTGAGTTGTATTCTTCCAATCTGAATGTGAGGAAATTTCCAACTGAAGTCGTACAGTGCCCAGGCAACATTTAGGGAATTCTAAGTGTAGGATCCCTGAGAAGAGAATAGAGGAAACTAATTTGTAAAAAAGAAGAAAATAAAAATTTTGTGAGTTCACGGTCCCCATTCTGACAAGAGCATTTCCATCTAATCAACTCTTGGCAAAAGTCACCATTTTTTCCCATGAAAATCTTTAAAAAAACATTTTAGATTCCCTGTATCCCTGTATAGAAATATGTTATAAAGCGCTTTTAGAAGCTGTATACTGCTTAACTAAAAGATTGTTAAAWTTAAGTGATTCTGAACAGTAAATGGAAATGGAGTTTGAAACCTTTCAATTATTGCATGCAAACCATTATGTATATATCTCTTTTAGGGGGAAATATTCTGTATTTGAAGAAGCACATATGAAAAAAAGAGGAAAAGCTACTTTAAAATAGAGCTGTCTCCTCCCAGAACAAAAATCCTGTTAGTGCTATTGTTAAGGAAGGCAGTAGCAAAGTATTGGTTGCAAGGTGTATAAACAATGGGATTGGGGGCTGGAGGGATTTGAGTCCTAGAAGCTGACTGCCAAGGAAACCACTGACAAGAGGGAACCAGGCTAATTCTTTGTGGTATTTTCTGCTCTCTTAATTTGAAATGGGGGAGAAAATAAGAAGATCATTCTCAATAGTCTCCCCCTTTTTATTTTGAAAAATTTTAAACCTACAGAAGTGAAAGAAAAGCACAACCTATATGCCTTTCACTTTGATGGATTAGTGTTTTAACATTTTGTTGTATTCATTTTCTTATACATAGACATAGAAGGGAGTCATATAGAAAGTAAGTCACAAACACAGTAATTCTCTAACTACTTTAGCATGTGTTTTCTGAGAAGACAATATATGCCTAAACACAGTACTTTTATCACACCCAGGAAATTTTTAATTACTGCAATATTATCTACTATGTAGCTTATATTCTTCTTTCCCCCAGTTGTCCCAATAATGGTCTCCTTAGTTTTTTTTTTTTTAATATAGGATCCAGTCAAGGTTCATTCATTGCATTTAGTTGTCTTATAGTCACCAGGCTAGGTCTGATGGTGCATGCCTGTAATCCCAGCAACTCACTCAGGAGGCTGAGGCAGAAGGATTGCAAGTTTGAGGCCATCCTCAACAATTTAGAGAAGCCCAGAGCAACTTAGCAAGACTCTATCTCAAAAATAAAAAATAAAAATTTAAGGACTGGGAGTATGACTCAGTGGTTAAGCGCCACTGGGTTCAATCCTGGACACTGAAAAAAAAAAAAGTAAAAAAAGAATAGGGGCTGGGGATGTGGCTCAAGCAGTAGCGTGCTCACCTGGCATGCGCAGGGTGCTGGGTTCGATCCTCAGCACCACATAAAAATAAAGATGTTGTGTCTGCCAAAAACTAAAAAATAAATATTAAAAAATTACCTCTCCCTCCCTCCCTCCCTCCCTCCCTCCCTCCCTCTCTCTCTCTCTCTCTCTCTCATAAAAAAAAAAAAAAAAAAGAATAGCCACCGTTCTTCTGACTGAAAGGACCAGGCCATTTTTCTTATAGAATGTCCCACTATGTCCAGACTTACCTGATTTTCTCATTATGATTATATTCTATTTAACACATTTGACAAGCAAACTAACAGAGGAAATGCTATAGCCTTTGGGTTTTCATCACATCTGGAGGCATATGGCATCAGTTTGTCCAGCTACTGACTATAACCAGTTTAGTCATTTGGATAAAGTGATATGCACCATATTTTTCCATTGCAAAGGTATGCATTCTCCTTGTAATTTAGGGAAAATGAGAGGAAAAGGATACTTTGAATCCATGTGAATATCATTTATCCACCACCCTTCTTCCAATAGTTTTATCATCCTTGCCTGAATCTATTCACTGAGGGCCGCAAAATGATGATTACCAAATTCTCTGCCCTTACATCTATGTTTAATCATTTAATTAACTGACTTTTCTTTCTTTTTTGGTACTGGGGATTAAACCTGGGCACTCTCCCACTGAGCAACACCCCCAGCCCTTTCTATTTTTTTATTTTGAGACAGGATCTCACTAAACTGGTGGTACATGTTTACTGGTGAGATTGCTGAGATTACAGGAGTACACCACTGTGCTCAGCTTTTTGTGGATCTTTATTTTTCAACATCCATAATATATTATTACTTTATTCCTTCTGGTAATTGTATGATAGTCTGACATTTAGATTATTTCTACTTTCTTAGTATTATAGGCAACTACAGTTAATATTTGAAGTTGTCTTTGCATGTTGATCTATAGAATAGATCCCAAGAAGTGAAATGGTTAAATAGCCCTTACTGATTTGCACTTGTGCAAGGTCTTCCTCATGTCTTTACCAATACCATTAACATTTTTAATGTTTTTCTTTTTACTAGTAAGATTGTTACTTCGTTTTGGTTGACTACTAATTTCTTCTAAGATTGCTCACATCTGTAGGAGTTATTTTTTCTAGTTGAGGTTTTATTTACAGGTATATTTGGCTGTCTGAACTTTTACTGCCCAAATTCTGGTATTAAATATGTTTGGGTAAATGTTTTATGAAATTTCTTGCTATATGCATTAGTGATATACTCCCTTTACAATTGCTTTGATTCACTTTCCTAACTTGCTTTTCAAATTCTGACTGTCTAAAATTAGGAATCCAGTAGGTTCACATAGGGAAGAACACTTTGAAGTCTCATATTAATCTTTGTTACATGTATTAAATTTTTCCCCTTCTATGTTTTGATATTATATGTATAGTTTTACACAATAAAAAGTTGTGCATTTTATATTAAATGTCTTTTGATGTTTTTCCCTATAAATTCTAGGTTTTTTCGCTTTATTTAGGTTGGCCTTTCTTTCTTTTTTTTTTTTTTTTTAAAGTTGGTAGTTCAAAACATTACACAGTTCTTAAGGCCTTTCTTATCTAGCATTTTTTTCTAATCTTTTATTCTAGTGTATGGTTATTTGTAGACACACTAGAATCTTTTGGATACATGAAGTTCATTTTTACTCATCAATTTTGTCAACACATTTTTAATAATTTATTCTTTGTCATTAATTTTAAATGCTGTATTATACACCATGTTTTTATATATATATACAAGGATTGTTTGAGGATGTTCTTGCAATAGATCATATTGTTGAAGTGAATATTTTTATATCTAGTTGGGAAAGTCCCTTATTTGTCAAATATTTCTAATCATGTAATTTTATTCCCATTTAAAAGGGGGAAAATCAACTTTTCCATTTATGCTTCCTCCAACAATATGAGAATGCATAGTTTTCCAGGCCTGGGAGAAACTTGCTAGAATATAGAGCCAAGGTTAAGTAGGACTTGAATAAACTTATAAAAATTAAAGATGTGTTATCTATCTGCTAAACCAGGAGAAATCAAATAGGTTTTTAATATTGTTGAAGTGTTACCCTCTTGTTTAATGAGCTGTTAACTACTACCCCTTCTAGTTTTAATCCTGTCTGGTAATTTGGAATTGTATTACCTATATACATTTCCTTTCCCCTTCCAGCTTCCTAGCATTTCTTTTTCCTCTTCCCCTACCCAATCCATCCAGTTTTCTGTCTAGAGAAATCTCATTTGTTCCTAAAGACCCAGTTTGGATAGTGCCTTTTCTAGGAAGTTTTTCTTTATGCCAATGATAGGAAGATTGTTCTAACCTCTGTGCTTCATATTATTTATTCCTGTTCTTTATCAATGTCAAAGTTTAGGCCAGATCAGGATATATGACACATGCCATAAAATGATTGTTGAAAAGAATAAAATATCCCTGCCTTCAGAGAGCTCACTAGAGAATGAAACTAAAAGCTTAGAATTAAAGAAAAATAGATAACAAAAACAGCTATTATATATTTTTAAAAAGCACTGACAGATGAGATTTTATGTAAAAATTTTGCCGACCTGACCAGGTTTATATTTTATTGCTTATGTCCGAAGCTTTAGATAATGTAGTTTGAATACAGGAAGGCCTTCCAGATGAGATGTGGCACAAACCTTAAAGACATTCATGGGTCCAAATGAGTTGTTATCGTGGGAGTTTCAGAGTTGTAAAGTGAGATTACATGCTTCTTATAATGTGTAGTTGAGTTGTAAGTGAATGGATATTTGGAATCTTTTTTGTTTTTTTCTTAGTACTGGATGAATGAATACACCTCATCTATTGGAATTGGAGTTTTTCATTCAGGAATTGAAGTATATGGAAGAGGTACGTGTATACACAGTTTAAATACTTTTCTGAATATTTTGTTCTTTAAAAAAATTGCAAAATCATAATTATAACTTTTTTCTTTTTTTTTTTTTTAAACCACTCCCATATGTTATTGCAGAAAGTGAAGTGAGGGTGGAGGGAAAATCCCCATATTTGTTTGTACTGTTTTGGAAAATTTTCCAAAATAGAATGTATCTAGGGAGAAAGTTCTCAAAATACAGAGGTGTACATTCATTTTATCATCTTTTATTCTAAATATTATGTGTTAACAAAATACTTCCCTTTTGAGATCATTTTACTATGATAGTTTGTTTTGCTCTAATGTGTATTGTTAAGAGTTCCTAAGAAACTTTGCATTATGAAAACAATCATTTTGTCTGGAACAAAGTGTTGTGTTAGACAATGTCAAATTTGAAATACCAATTTCCTGAGGGAATTTCAGTAATAAATTTGGTTTTGTAAACCTATAAATACACATCTATAAAGTCTAAAGACTTTGCTGAGCAAATCCTGCTTTAGATTACATCTAGATTTTGCTCAAGAATGATGGCCTTTGTCATAAACTCAGCCTTTTTCATTCTTGTTACCTTTATTATGCTTCATTATGATAAACATGACAGGAGTTATTTAAACCAAGCAGCTGTGTTTTCAACAGCTTTTTTCTTTGTTCTGGTTCCCACTCTCGGTAAAAGATGATCTATTCCTGATCAAGTTGTAACTGGTAACTAGTAATGATCTGTCCTTAAGATAGATCACATTGCCCACTTCATGAGGGTTATGATAATATACCAGTTTGAAGCATAAACTTAATCTACAGCAGAAATGCCCGTATTTATATCAGCAAAAAAGTCTTTATAAACTCTTAAGAATGTTATTGTGGCTTTCTGAGAGTTACTCCTGAGATTACATGTCAGCTTTAGCTAAAATAAATAATGACCCATTTTCTTAAATGTACCAATCCGTTTGTTTTTTGTTTTGTTTTGTTTTGTTTTTTTTGATGGTGAGGATGGAACTCGACCTGGTGCATGCTGAGCAGGTGCTCTAGCACACAGCTATATCCCCAGCCCTGCCCCCCTTTTTTATTCCACATTAGCTGCCTCTAAATACAGTTTAGCATATTAAATCTGAGCTAYAAAGATCTTCTGTTTAAGCTCCATTTTATTTGAAAGGCTGCACCTACCAAATAATCCCAAGAAACAATGAGATGTTTGGGCTGAAAGTTTTAATGATTAGAGTATTGCTATAGGTGCTATCATGGTGTGTGCATTGTTCTCTTGATTTGTGTGGCTTTCACCAAAATTGTACTTGTATTCCTTCTTGACTGAAATTTGGTTCATATGCTACAGTTAAAGTGCCATCAAGTTTTGAACCACATGAACTACTGTGCAGTAGTTGATGGCATGTAGCATTTTCTGTTTTTCAGATAAAGTAACTGAGGCTCAAACCTGCTGAAAGTCATATGCTAACAAGTAGGATTTGAAAATTTGAACCCAAATGTTCTTATATGCTGGGCCATTGTTCTGTTACCTGCATAATTATTGTTCCTCTTCATAAAATGATTTAGGAATAATTAGAAGCATGATTCAAAACATGTCCATGTAAACATAGCAAAACTATGACCAAATATATTCTTGAAAGTGGATGATTGCTTCTTTTATAAAAGAATAAGTGGGGGGCTGGGGATGTGGCTCACGCGGTAGCGCGCTCGCCTGGCATGCGTGCGGCCCGGGTTTGATCCTCAGCACCACATACAAACAAAAATTTGTGTCCACTGAAAAGTAAAATAAATAAATAAATAAATAAATAGAAATTAAATTTGTTTAAAAAAATAAAAAAAAAAAAAGAGTAAGTGGATCTTTGTCTTTCCTTACTATAATTGAAAGAGTTAAATCTAGATGTGATTTTCTTATGTCCAATCTGATTATCTACAATATCTCTATAAAATTCTATCATTAAAAAGTGTGAAATTTGGGGCTGGGGTTGTGGCTCAGCARTAGAGCACACACCTAGCATATGCAGGGCCGTGGGTTCAATCCTGAGCACCACATAAAAATAATAAATAAATAAAGATATTGTGATCAACTACAACTAAAAAATATTTTTAAAAATGTGAAATTTATATTTCAGAATTGAATACTAAATACTTTCTCATCTACRTAATTTTGTTTCTGAAAGATCTAAATCCAGAGTATACTTAGTATCTGCCTTGTTCTTTCCTATGCTTTGTTCTAAGACCTTTTAAGATTATATTTAATAAATCTTAAGTGATGAGATTAATTTAAATATTGTTTGGAATTCTTTGTATCTACTAAGACTTAACCACTTAAAAATCTGCCTGAGAAAATAGAACTGTGGTCAGAAATTTTTCCTCCTTTCTGATTTGAAACTATTCTCTGCTTTTGTTCTAGAGGAGAATTTATATCTGATGAGGTGGTCATACATGCAGTGTCCTCCTAGCTAAAAGATTATTGTGCAGAGTGTGACTGTATGAGGGGTGGGTGTATATGTTAATTTTGATAGCTTAKTTTTGGAACAAGGGAAATTAAATTCACTGTTTTAGGTTTGATGTTTCACCTTTAATCCAGCATAAATCCAGTCTTGATCCCAGGAAACATGAAAACTCATGCCATTAGACAGTTTCTCCACTCAAGTGTAAGTTTGAAAAGTGACAAAACACTGAACTGACCATCTACTTAGTTTGGCATGATGCTTTTGCAGAGAGACTGTTCACTTTTGAGTGTTAGTCACCCTCCTTTTTTGTGAGTACAAAGTAAATATAATAGTCAAGATTACCTTTGAGTATCTTTTATTATTCAAGTTTCAGATCTTTGTGACAGCTGTTTCTCTACTAGTAATAGTTAAATGAGATGATCATGAAAGCATCTAATAAACTGAAAAATATTTAGATGTTATCATTATCCTCATCATTGATTAAAGCTAATTGAGCATTCTGGTTAAATTTTATGTGATAAATACTAAAAATCATGAGTTTTCTCTTTGCAGAATTTGCTTATGGTGGCCATCCATATCCTTTTTCTGGAATATTTGAAATTTCCCCAGGAAATGCTTCTGAACTAGGAGAAACATTTAAATTTAAGTAAGTAGGGAGGATAATTTTCATTACACTGTCTTAGGAACCAAAGCTTGTTCTTTAGGCATATAGAATTCATTCTGTAAAATTGAAACCTAAAAAGTTAAAATGTTTGTTTTATTTGCTGACATAATATATGTGTATGTATTTATTTAAGTTGTTTTGCAAAGGTGAAAATTAGTCAAGTAAATTGTCTAAAATAAACTTCTGTTGGTTTTCTTCAGGACCTATATAGGTTATTCTGTCTGATTTTTAAATATTTGTGTCTTTGTATAACCCAGGTTCTGACTCAGAAAACTCCTACCCAATTATCAGTCCCCATCTCCTAAACCGGGAAAAGTTTTGTGACCTAAATTTTTCATTATTTAAAATACCTTCATCTTCCCAATGAAAGTAACACTATACATTTGAAATAACTAAACATCTGATTAGCCTGGAAACTATAATTAAGATACAGGTGTCACGTATAATGATAAACCTCAAACATGTGGATGTCTGTAATCCCATCAGCTCGGGAGCCTGAGGTAGAAGGATCCCAAATTCAAAGCCAGCCTCTGCAACTTAGCAAGGCCSTAAGCAACTTGGTGAAACTCTGTTTCTAAATATAAAATGGAATGGGAATGTGACTTAAGTGGTTAAGCGCCCCTGGGTTCAAGCCCCACTTAAAAAAAAAAAAAAATGTGTGTGGATATAAGTGTTCTCCAGAGCCTTACAAGTGATAAACAGCAATGAAAATCTAAATACTAATAATCAAATTTCTATTTCTTAATTAAAGAGAAATAATTTGTACTAATATTTAGAATCTTAGTTTCAAGAACCTTTAAAGAAACTTGTGGACCAACTACAGTAATCCCAGTGACTCAGGCAGCTAAGGCAGGAAGATCACGAGTTCAAAACCAGCCTCAGCAACTTTGTGAGGCCCTAAGCAACCTAGCAAGACCCTGACTCAAATTTTTAAAAAGGACAGGGATGTGGCTCAGTGGTTCAATCCTGGTACCCAAGGAAAAGAAAAGAAACTTGTGGGCCTATGATAGTTAACTTGCCAAGTGAAAAATAATAACAAAATGAGGTTATAACATAGAGAAGTTCAGTACAGGGCTTACTGCAAAGTTATAACTCTTAGCTTACCACTGAATCAAACCATTTAGGTATAGAAGTGCTATAATGTATCTTGAATCCATTCCTTAGGTCTCCTTTAAGCAAAACTGCTTGATAATAAAACAACTTTCTAATTATTTTCAGCTTTCTTTGACATCTACCTTGTATCTGACTAAAATTCTGCCTTTTATTGAATGAATAATGTCTATTGCATTTTCCAGGGTAGTACTTTCTGGTTATTTTTGTTTCATATTTTTTATAATGCTTTTAAAAACGTAGTCAGGTTTGACAGTTCATCTCACTGCATAGTGGCAGCAGATAAGTTAAAAGATTATTTCTAAGTGAAAATATGGCCAGCCCTTTGCTGATGAGTATAATTAAGCAAAAATATTTTTAGCATGGAACTTGTTCTCTAATGACATATATTGTTTCATAAAGAAGACAACTTGTATATTTGTATAATATAGAAAACAGTGTACTTACAAGCTTGTTGCAGAAAAGTTGGAGCTAAAACAATTGAAATTTTAAAAATATTTCATTTACCTTTAGTCTTATTGATCCTGATTTATTACTTCAATCATAACATTCCTGGAAATAAACAAGCTTTTAAATATGCTTATAAATAACTGAACCTCACACAGCTATGTTCTCTTTTTCTTCCATTTTTTCATTTTTATCTTTTCTTTCTGTTCTTTAAGAGAAGCTGTTGTTTTAGGGAGCACTGACTTCCTAGAAGATGATATAGAAAAAATTGTAGAAGAACTGGGAAAAGAATATAAAGGCAATGCATATCATTTGATGCATAAAAACTGCAATCACTTTTCTTCAGCTTTATCAGAGGTAAATTAAATTTTATTCTAAAAGTTCTTTGGATAAATAATAATAATAATATACTTGCTGTTCCACTATATTCAGTCTTGTTTCATTTCTTTTTCTGATTATCCTTGTTGTATGAAAAATAGCATTTGTATTTCTTTCTCTTGCATGATCTTTTCTGAGTTGGCAACTTCAGAGTTAGTACATCTTTAAATGGTAATTCTTTTCATTCCCTTACCATCAGGACAGGGTACAAGTAGTTGTCTCTTATTCTTACTCATTTTATTGCAATATCATGTTAATGTTCCTTGGAAGTGACACATATCCAAGAAAAACAACTTTAAAATGGGAAAGGTTTATTTTGGCTCATGGTTTCAGTCCATGGTAGGTCAGCCCTTTTGGTTTTGGGCCTACGGCAGCATAGCACATCATGACAGGGAACATGTAGTGGATTGAGCTGTTTATCTCATAGTGGCCAGAAAGCAGAGAGAGAAAAAGAGGGCCAGGTCCTATGTCCTCTTCAAGAACATACCCCCAATGACCTGATGACCTACTACTAGGACCCACATCTTAAAAGATTCTGGCACATCCCAGTAGCACCTCACACTGGTGACCAAGCACATGAACCTTTGGATATTTAAGATCCAAACATATCTTACCTGAAATTTTCACTTTAAAAAAAGAAATGCTGGCCAGATGCAGTGGCACCCTATAATTCCAGAGGCTGAGACAGGGAGAGTCAGGAGTTCGAAGCCAGTTTTAGCAACAGCGAGGTGCCAAACAACTCAGTGAGACCCTGTCTCTAAATGAAATACAAAATAGATCTGAGATGTGGCTCACATCCCCAGGGATGTGAGCCAGGGTCGATTGCCCCTGAGTTCAATCCCCAATACTTTAAAAAAAAAAAAAAATGCCGGGCTAGAGTTGTAGCTCATTGATAATGTGCTTGCCTGGCATGTGTGAGGCACTGGGTTCGATCCTTAGCACCACATAATAAATAAGTAAATAAATAAATAAAACAAAGGTATTGTGGCCATCTACAACTAAAAAATAAATAATAAAAAGAAATGCCTAGACTTCTGTTTCTTAGCTACTAGGGTTTTGCTGAATTTCACTTGCCAAGTGAAAAATAAATTTTAAGATGAGGTTATAATATAGAAATTCAGTATAGGGCTTAAAATTTTGCTAAATTTTAGTTGCCAACATGAATTTTTTTCCTGGCTCTTATTAACAAGAATTCATTTCTCCTATCTTGATTTTATTCTGCAAACCTATGATAGGCACTTGCCTTTCCAATCCTTGAATCCCAAGCAGAAGACCAAAACTATATAAAATYAAAGGACCATAAAGAGAAGGTGGAGGGAAGGAATAAAGAAGATTATAAAATAAGATCTAGAGAATTAAATAGCACTTGAGATGGCACCCCAACTTTATCTCTCAGATCATTACAGCGACAGCATCAAGGTAACACAGAAATTGTGGAAGGCGTAAAGGAGAAAATGAGCTGCTATTTCAGTGACCCTCTCTACTGAAATGCTTGGCTCCTGGCCTTTTTCACTTCCCTCATGGCTTCTATAGCATTGCTTTCGAAGAGGGCTATAGGGATCTGTAACTGTGCAAGCCAAAATATGTGTCATTAGCTAGCAGGATTACCCATGACTTTGAAACATGTGGTATCCTTGCCCCACTATGAATGTACTAATCCAGGTCTTATTTTAACAAAATCCTCAGATGACTCACATGAAAATAAAAGTTTGAGAAGCACTACCAATAGTCTAGTACTTGTATACCGTAGAGGTGACCTAGTTGATTTTCAGGAAAGGGAGGACAGGTGGATCTGAGCTGCTTTTTTTCACCTTCCCAGTACTGAGGATTGAACCCACAGGTACTTTATCACTGAACTACATCCTCAGTCTTTATTTAAGACAAGAGTTCATTAAGCTGCTGAGGCTGGCCTCAAACTTAAAATCCTCCTGTCTCAGCCTCCGTAGTCACATCACAGTTGTAAGCTTTTTTTTACTTCAGATATTACATTTTTAGGGAATGCATTCAAAGATTCATAGGATGTTAAAATGGGCAGAGATAATAGAATCTAATCCAGTGTTCTCCTTTTATAGGCAAGGAAATGGGTTCCAATTAGAAAAAGACATATCAAAGATTGTTATGAAGAACTCATTAGATCCTGACTTCTTATTCAAGTGCTTGTTAGGCTTTATTATTACTTCCTCTGATTCTGATTTGTTCTCTCCCCCAAATAATTTGGTAACTTTATTGAACACCTATACTACCACCTCAGCCAGCCCTGACTTGCCCCTGAAACCATGTTAAGGTTGGGAGCCATCGTTTTAGGCCACAGTTTTCATGTTTTCTTCTTTATGAATGCTAAATTGTTAAAGAAACTAAGACCCAGAAGTTAAGTGATTTAACCAAGGCCACCCAACTTGTTTCTGGCCGTGCTGAAATTAGAATTCAAATGGGAAGAGATATAAGAAGCTATTTTAGTGAACCCCATATAAATGGAAGCAAACAAATTTAATATTAGGGCCTTTAAAGACAGGTAATAAAACTGTTGTGCTTTTACATTATTAACAACATAGTTGAGGAGGTGTGTTTCATATAACCAGTTGCAGAGAGACAAAATCATCAACAATTATATTTGATTGTTTATATGTGTACTTTTAGGTAGACGTTCCAAAAATTCTAAGCATGATCACCATTTAAATACAATGTTAGCAGTAAAGGTACTTTCTGTCCACAGGGATTAGCAAACTATTATGGCCTGCTAGCCAATACCAGCCTGCCATTTATGTTTGTGCAGCCTATGAACTAAGGTGGTTTTTACATTTTTCAGTTATTGACAGATCAAAACAGGGATATTCACATAATGACACATATAGAATATGTGAAGTTCAAGTTTCAGTATCCATAAAGTTAACTGAAATACAACCATGTTCATTCATTTCCCTGTTACCTTTACAGCTCTCATGCTGAAATGGGAATTGAGTAGTTACAACAAAGACTTTATGGCATTAAATGTAGAACATGTATTGTTTAGGCCTTTACAAAAAAGTTTGTCAACCTTTAGTCAATAACTGAGATCCATTTGAATCTGATTTAGATTGGCTTAAACATAGAGGAAACATTTTATCTCCCAAAACACGAAGTCCAGAATACGACAGGCTTCCTGTCAGTACGGTCACTGTCTCAATTTTAATGTGACAAGAGGCCCCTAATGTCTTTCCATCTCTTGAAATCCTTAGACCACTGACTCTGCTCTTAGGCTGTGGCTCCCCTTATAGTTTTCAGATAGCTGTAGTAATATTAGGTACAACATCCAGAGAATGAAAAAAACTGTCTCTTCCTTTGGTTCTCTCTCAGAAACAGTGAAACTCCCCCCCCCCCCTGTTTATCCTCCTCTTCCAAAAACAGGCCATATTTCCTGAAATGGGGGCGAATGGCCAATTCTAAAATAGTCATTAGCATTACCATAACTAAATGCCACTGGCCTAATCTAAATATTTTACTTTTAAATATATATAAAAGTAGGATAGTATAATAATGAGTCCTATATGCCTGTTACTGCTTCAAAAATTATTACTTATAGCTAACTTTGTTTCATCTATGAGCTCCCCACTCCAGAATACCAGGACCAACCTCAGATTTTGAGAAAAATCCCAAATATTGTTTTATTTCAGTTATAAATATTCACTCATAGCTCTCTAAAAGATGATTATTTTTAACATCAAAATGTTAGTTATTGGACCTAAAAAAAAAAAATGTTCATTCCTTAATACTATCCAATTATTTCCCCAGTTGTCATGATTTTTTAATAGTTAAGTTTGAATCAGAATCTAAACAAAGTTCATTCAGCTGCACTGTGAGTGAGGTATATTCCACATAGAAAAAAACAGGATAGACCTTTGTTTCTTTTTCTTTACTTATTAGTTTTCAAAAAATAAGTTGGGAAGGGGAGGGAAAGAAGTACCAGGGACTGAAATGGAACAAATTTTATTCCGTGCATGTGTGATTATGTCAGAATGAACCCCATATTATCTGTAACTATAATGCACTAATAAAAAATAATAAATTAAAAAGGAAAAAAAAAGTCAGTTTCTATGCAGGAGTGAGTTAACATCCCAGACTACTGTCCTTAGAAAAGCCTGCCTATAATGTTGACCCCCCCCCCCCAGTCTGGAAACTTGGATTTCAGGAAGGTTCTCAGTTTCTAGAACTGGTGGAAGTGACTTACTGCACCTAAGCTATTTATACAAATCACTTGGTTTATGTTATATACTTGCTTTTTATCTAGGAATCTAGAATTTTGTTACCAGCTTGGCAAAGTGTATGACCAGGACCCTACAAAAACCTTAGGCACTAGTCTGGAGGAGGGAACAAAAAACCAAACATATCACCTGGGGTGATGGTGCACACCTATAATTCCAGCTACTCAAGAGACTGAGGCAGAAAGATCAAAAGTTCTGGGCCTGCCTCAGCAACTTAGAAAGACTTAGGGTAGAGTATTCAATCCCCAATACCAGAAAAAGAACTAGCAACATGTTCCATCAGCCTAGCTGCTGCTGAGATCCACATGCACACCCACCCACACAATTTCATGTAGAATTTCCCAAAGCAGCTATGTTAAACCTGTAAATACTAAATTTACTGTTAGGGGTTTGAATACATTTGCAATGGAAAAAAAAAAAAAGGTAGGGAAGTTTTGTTTTGTTTTGTTTTTTAATGGCTTTGTATTTTGTGGTTTATTGAATCATGAATATATGATAGAAATTGAGGTAAAATGTTTCATGCTTATAATTTTACAAGTGCTAGAGGGATTTTCTCACCAAGGAATATTGCAAAGCAAAAGTGTTAGTAGGACAACTTCCTTGTTTGCTGCTGTAGGGTAGATGGAAGTTAAATCCTTTGAGTATTAAAAGCAAAAAATGTCTGCATGACCCATGATTTTTACTGGATGCGGGGGGGCGGGGATTCTTTTGTTGTTGTTTTGTTTTGTTTGCCTATTGGAG